AGGTAATTAAGAGAGCAAGCATGCTTTGTTAATTCATTAATTTGCATTTCTTTTTAAAGTTACAACAGTGTTATAATTAACTCAATATATTTATACCATTGTAACCTCGATTTATAGTTGTGCCCTTGAAACGTTTCATATTTTTACTTGTTAATCTATCAGAAATCAGTGTTATTTAACTAGTTTAATCGAGATGAGAGGGATCCATTTTAAGTCGGTTTTCGGTTAGTTTAATTACATCTAGACTACATACGAGTGTGATGAACGAAATTTATTATTGCACTAGACTTGACTAGACTAATTGGCTTTTTTTATATTTCATGCCAAGATTGAAATGATACTGATAGATATGCAAGTTGCATTCATTGCATTGTTTGTACACTTTTTATTTTAAACAGATCATTATTTTGAAAGCATAAAAATATTAAAAAGTACTTTAAAAAAATTATTTATGTCATAATTGTGTTGAAATTATGAACTTTTTTTTTTGTCAGGCTACTTTCATTAGCTTCAGCAGCAAGACTAAAAAGAGGGTGGTAAGTAGTCATTGTTGTGTTTGTTATAAATACTTGTATTGGTATGCATCTTATTGTTCATAGTATGACAAATTGAAGATGTTGTCTTATTGCTTATATTTCAAGATTCTGGGAATTAGATGCAGTGTATATATATATATTATAAAACATTAGTTAGTGTTGTAGTGTGATTAGATTGGGAAACATAGGTTTAGCTGGTAATTCTGGATTACAGGTATAGTCATTATTAAGCCTAAGGCTTTTGTGAATGAAATATTTTTCCTAAACTTTTTCTTAGATTAAAGCATCCAACTCAAATATACTATATATAGCAATTAATTTTAATCATGGCCTCTCATAACAGTTTTTACTGTTTTCAGGCATGGATATTTGGATCGCTAGCTTTAAGTGGAGGTGCTGTGGTAGCAACAGCCTTGGCCCAGCCCGCATTCGCTAGTGACCTTGTACTTCACCCTCCCCACTATCCGTGGAATCATAAGGGGCTTCTACAGGCTCTCGATCATGGGAGGTTTGTTTCTTTTGTTGTAATTTAATCTTCTCTGTCTTAGTTAGCTGATATTGTTTTAACTCCAGTGGCGGACTGATAGGGTTAATGTGTGTGCGACCTACTGACACATGTGACTCAGGCAAATCACACAAGTCAACGGCTGTCAATGAACAAGGAACAGTACTACTAGTACACACAAATTTGACCAGTGTTATGGTCATGTGTTTAAAAGCCTTCATGAACGAGAGACAGTGTGTAAGAAAAGACGGTTCAGGACAGCTAGGCAGTAAGGATGATGCAGTAGAATGTGAGTCCTCAAAAATGTAGTTGTACAAGTCCAAGAGTAGAGAGAGAGACTTGTAGTGTTTAGTAGGCAGTTCTTTTAAGTGCTAGAAAGCATTTGAAGTTAGTGTAGCCAATTGTGTTGTCTTGGCTGTTGATGTATTTGTGATTAAACCGCCACTTTGATATTTGAAACTCTTGTTGTCGTGTTCTTATATTAGATGTGCTATGTTGAGGAGTGGTTATGAAGGCCTAGAAGAAAAGATAGTAACAATATTTATACATTGCTTAATTTTTTTTTTTTTAAAGCATACGTCGTGGTTATCAAGTGTATAAACAAGTCTGTGCTGCTTGCCACAGTATGCAATTTCTCTGTTATAGAAATCTTGTTAATGTGATAATGACTGAAGAAGAAGCTAAAGCAGAGGCTGAAGAGGTAATAACAATTTTTGTTGTTGTTCATTTTTATATAGTGTAAATACAGTTACTGCCATTCTGTAAATGCAACAGTTAATTATCCTATTAATGTCACCAAGCTTTCTTTAGAAAATATAGTACATACATTGAAAGAGCAATTATTTTCTATTTCAGTTAAAAAATAACATTGGTATGAATTGTTTAAGTTTAAATAAGAATTTTTATCGAAGGAACTTTTTTTTCCCTCAGGCTACTATTGAAGATGGCCCCAATGAAAATGGAGACATGTATGAAAGACCAGGAAAGCTATCAGATCATTTCCCAAGTCCATACAAAAATGAAGAGCAGGCTAGGGCAGCAAACAATGGCGCCTATCCTCCCGACTTGACATACATTGTGCCAGCTAGACACGGACAAGAGGTGGGTTGAGAACAATGTATGGGCTGGAGACATGTCAAACATTCCACATTTTTCAAAATTGTCAAACTATCACATGAAAAATGATCATTTGTTGCACTACATCAAAATGGCTTACTTATGACAAAAATACAATTACTTTGATAGCCATATTCTTTTAATTAATTTTTTTATAGTGCAAAATGAATAGCGTGTTAAAGTTTTTATACATTGCCTCGTGGTGTGGCATGTCCATTTCCACTCATTCTATTCATTTAATTACAAATGATCATCTTGTCAAAACAATCTGCTTGTTTCTTGCATGCATTTCTCTAAGAAAGGGATACAGTTTTACAACAACAAAAAAAATCTAGATGTACAGTATTGATTTATTGAAATTCATTCTCAAGGAAAATATTGTAACTAGACTAGGCTATGAGCTAGTGCTATTAGCTACTAAGAATTAGGTTTATGTAAAATAGATTTTACATTGAGATCTATTATCTAGTCGATCTAAATATATATTTACACTATTCTAAATTAATATCTAGAATATTTTGTCTAGATTAGTAAGTCGATATAAATAAATATTTAGACTATTCAAAATTAATATCTTGAATCTTTTGTCTAGATTAGTAATTAAATTTTATCTCTGTTATGTAATGCTATGAGTATCTAAGTATCTTTGTTAGTTATCTCAAAAAGTAAAAGCTGTCATTTGAAAGACTCACAAGTAGATCTATGTTTAAAGAAAATTTGCAATGAGAAAAAATATTTGTAGAGATTGTACAATGACTGGTTTTAGTGCCCAATTCACAACTACACATAAATATCATATGTATCAGTGAATCCCCTACTAGTTCTAATAAAAAAAGAATTAATTAATCATTTCACCTCAGACAATATACTTGTATTTATTTATTATATATCTGATGCTTAATCGCAAACTATTACAGGACTACATATTTTCACTATTGACTGGCTATGCTGAACCTCCTGCTGGTGTAAAACTGATGGAAGGACAGCATTATAACCCTTACTTCCCAGGAGGAGCTATTGGCATGGCTGAGGCACTTTACAATGAAATCGTTGAGTATGATGATGGTGAGATTTTCTTATGGTCTCAAAGTCAAACTTTACTAATTAAATTGTTTAGCACCATAGTTTTGTATTACCTTTTCAGAATGGGACAGTTTTAGTTTTGTTGTATCTCTGATGTTCCAGAATGTGTCTTAGACGACAATCAAAGAAAGCATAACTATATAACATCTTACATCTTAAAATCACCGACATCCCACATGTATAAATAATTTTGATCCAGTGGTTGCTTTTTGTGCATTTCAGTGTTCAAAAAATTTAAAAAAAAAGAAAACAATTTTTAACAAAAAAATAATTCATTTTAATCTTTATTATTGAAGATGTTTTTTTCTTATCTGTAGGCACTCCAGCCACTCAGAGTCAACTTGCTAAAGATGTGGTGACCTTCCTTAGATGGGCTGCCGAGCCTGAACATGATACAAGAAAGCTTTATGGATTGAGGGTGAGCAGTGCTATTTTTATACTTAGTAATCTGTTTTGTCATAATCTAAATCCCTGTTTAAAGAGGACCACACTGTTCCTCTTGAGGGGGGGGGGGGGCTGCAGCGACTTCTCTTTCATGGTTAGTGGTGGTACAGTTTAGGAATATGAAGGATACTCTTGAGTTTTCTGCCTCTGGCCTTGCAGTGATGTGGGGAGTTATGCATGGCTCAAAGAGTCAAATGCTTTTGCATTTGATAGTGTTTGATTGAAAATATAAGTACGAAAATTGTGACAGACTAATTCACCTTCCACCCTTAATTTAAAATGTCCTTTTTTCTAGTTAAATCAGAATCAAAACTAAGCCAGATTATCACTAAAATATCAAACTTCATTTATTTTACACTATAACAAATGAAGTAAAACACAATATTAGCTCCCTTGTCAAGGGAAGTAACTTAAATGGTGACAACATGCACTTGTATTATGATCATCATTCATTAGATTGTTTTTTCTTTCTCCCCACCACAGCTATACCTGCTGTTTGCTCCTTACCTGATCTGTTTGTATATGTTACTTTCTGAACTCTCTAATTGGTGCACCATAACCTATTAATGTTAACTTTTTGTTATGTCCTAGGCCATGATCATCTGCTCATTCCTCTTGGGTGTCACCTACTATATGAAGCGCCACAAGTGGTCAGTACTGAAAACTAGAAAACTGGCATTCAAGCCACCAACCTACAAGAAGTGATCATAGTCAAACTTAGGAAGGGATCAAAAGTATAGTTTGAAAGGGAGTGGGTGGGGTAGACCTGACAAGACAGACAATGCATAGCAACTGTTCCAATTACTCTCTTTTTTATTTTTAAATACATTTTAACAAATGCAAATGTTTTATGGATGTATTTTTAGTTGGTCGTATGAAAATAAGTTGCTCTTACAAAAAAAAAAAAAAACAATTATATTGGCAATTATTTTAAACCATATACCTGATAGGAGACATGCTGTTTAAAGGTTGAATGATAGTATCCATATGTTCTAGCCTGTAATTATGAAATGGAACTGATAACTTATTGATAATTTGTTACAGCAGTTGGATGTTCTGGCTGAGTTTGTAAGATATTTATCTGGTTTGTAATTATATTGTATTTGAGCATTGTTTATAGACGCCTCAGTCAATCATGCACTACTGTTGGAGCTCTATAAAATGGTGGACTTTGTTTATGAAGAGTATCAAGTTTACTTTTGGTCGGCCAAAGCAAAATATGTTGATTTTTTTTTTTGAGTAGATAATAATCTTCTGGACAAAAGCTCCACTGCTGTTTACATGTCTAGCTCTTTCTGAGCTAGACATTATTTTGTATTAAAAACAAATGTGGTTATTGACATAAAGTGTTGAGTTATTTCTGAACATTGGTTGTTATAAATTCATCTTTAAAAGAAAATATTTATTTTTAGTAACTTAAACTAGAAGCCCCAGCACAATTCAATTCTACATTATCTGATTGATAAGCTATATCTTTAAAATCTTGACATTGAATGAATGAAAAACAAGAAATCCATTATAATCTTAAAATATTTTATTTCATTAAAAAAGTATTTAAAAGTGGACTAGAAATTCATAAGTATTTTTGGCATGCAACAATTACATATGGCAAAAATAATTTTGATATGCATTAACTTAGTACAGACATTTCTTGTCAGCCTGAGTTAAACACCTTCTCTCTTGTAGGCTGTATTCAAACATCACAGATCATGCATTTATTAATATTTTTAGATAAGGAATACAAATGAACATATTTTTTTCAAAACATTATTTTAGGTAAATTGAAACCAAAAAAAAAAATTTTTTTTAAATGCACTTAATTTGAAAGTTATATCACTGAATCCAACCCACCAATCACAGAAATAGAAATGGGCTCAGTGTCATGGAAAGAAATATTAAAAAAATGATTTAAAAATAATCGTGTACTTTAGAGACAGAAAAATTGTTAAGGCTCACAAAACTCTTCGAACTCCATGAATGTAACAATACATTGTAATGCAATGAATTAATGGGAAAAATATATTGAAATGAACATTATTTTATATGAATATTTTGTTAAACTCAAATCTATACTAAAATTGTAAATAGAGATTGTACATACCAGATCTACTAAATAAACTACAGCATACATTTATACAGATACACACTGCTTTCATTTAAAGTAATATAAGTATATACTGGTCATTCTAAAAGTCTTTAATTGAAAAGTCATCCTTTATTATTAATTTTCACTTGTCTCAGTTTATATTGACCTCATGATTTATGTCTTTAAATGATTCACTATGGAGGCAGTAACAGACACACTTTATTTAATGTTAATATAATAACAAGAATTGCATAATTGTAAATAATTAGCGTGTATAAACTAAGAAAAGATAATACTCATGTCATGGTATAACAAATAAACATTTTGGCTTTTTTTTTTTTATAAAGCTTGACATTTTGTTTTGTTTTTTACAAAGTAAGTTTAGACGAAAAAAAAAATTAATTGACAATTAGGGCCTACTAGTTATAAATAATAAAATAAGCCAGTGTTTTAATTAATTCTTTTGTAGATTATAAAATAAAAAAGTCTTTTATTCAATGTGAGAAAACTTTCTTGTTTACTGGGGGGGGGGGGGGGGGGTTTCTTCCAAATATCAGCAATAAGAATTGTAGGATCTTTCTAATTTTCACAAAAGTATTTGAGCATTTCTAGAAAAAGGTATTCCAGTAGTAGACTGTTAGTTACTAGTTATAAATTATAACATTCTCTGCCAGAGAAAGCCTAGGCTCTAATTTATATATCACAAGGAATGTATATAGAACATATGAAAACTAGTTCTAATAGTTACTGACAAAACACCATCCTGTGGCATTTTATATCTCAAGAGACGATCTTTTCCCTTTGCAACTTCTTGTGTGACTAAAGAGGCCAATCCTTGATACACAGCTGCGATCGCAGGTTGGGCATATATAATCGCCAGGCGCCGTTGCATTTTCACCCTTCTTCCTGCTTCTGTTGTGTATGACATCTGCAATCTTTGACCCTTCCTTTATGCTCTCTCTCCATGAGGATCTGTCCAGTGCCACCTCTTCCCAGTTGCCAGTGTCGATTTTGAAGAGCTTCATGTCGCGTTTACATACATCCGTATAACGTAAAAGTTACTGACAAAACACCATAAACGTTTGCATAAAAGTAAACACAAAAGCCATCCCACAAAGTATCACCATTGTTCAACAATAACAGTGATCACCTTATATAAATAATTATTATGTGTACAAATAACAAAATAAATTTAAAGATGTCTTTCACGTCAGAGTTCTGTATGTTTTGTTACCTGTTGGCAAAAAAAAGATTGAATTAGTTCATACAAATAAAGGCTATTAACAATGTAACTTAAACAGTTTGACATTGATTAAACATAGTGTATCTCTATACTCTCTATATATGCTATTCACACTATTCTTTCTGGTAGTAACTCTAAATAAACTTTTTTATAGATCACATTTTGACTTTAAAAAATATTTCTATTTATGCTGTGCTAACTAGGATTATAATAAAATATATATTCTTTTGGAAGTCAAAAAAGCTCACTTCAAAATGTATGTATTTAGTTATTGACCTTTGACAAAACTACTTCATGATAGGTAGCTTAGTTTTATAAAAGCTATGAAATAGCTTGGTTTTATATGACCTACGACTGCTATTTCATGATAGGTAATAACATAGCTTGGTTTTATGAAAGCTTCAGAATTGCTTGGTTATGTTCTGCTACACTGCATCATTGTGGCACTTCGGTGAAAACAATTGCTTGAGGGAGCTATTAGGCTAAATGAATAGTAAAGCAAGACTCCTGTGGGAGAGCATTCTATCTGCACATTGTGTGGAGTTGAGAGCATTCTAGCTACACATTGTGTGGAGTTGAGAGCATTCTATCAACACATTGTGTGGAGTTGAGAGCCTCAATGACCTTGTCAAAATCCAGAGGCTATTCCTCAAGGGACTGTTTCTTTAATGGTAAGTCCTGCACAGTTAGCATGGTAAACAATAGGAAAATGGCAGGGTTCCTGGTGTGCTTCAGAAAATGTGCTTGGAATGTTCGACTTATTGGAAATAGCTGTGTTCTACAGGGACATTTGCTTGGACCTGTCAGGCAGAGTGCTATGTTCAATCATGCTAACGTGCCTAGAATTTTGGCTCAACTCTTTTGACAGTAAAACAGTTATGTACAGCATCACATGATTTGTAGCAACACTAACTTATCCTAACATCATGCACACACCTTTTTGTTTCTATTGGGGAAAGTCTAAATTTGAAATGTTTACCTTTTTCTTTGGACAGTTGCAGTCTCTATCATTGGGGTTATTGACTAGGTCAAACTCTTTGATACCCTTTGTTCCTTTCTTTATTAAACTGGCATAGTGCTAAAATGAAACATTTTCAGAAGTCTGTTTTTGTGTTAAATAATCAAATAGATTACTTTTTTTATATGAAAATAGTCATTGTTTGCTCTATTAAACAATAAAGTTTATTTTAAATTGTGAAATTACAAAAAAAAAAATTTAAAGGACGTGCTATTACACACATTTATGCTAATACATAAATGCCCAAACTGCGGGACATATCTGGCCCTTAACGCAATTCTATCTGGCCCTTTCAAACTCTCCCCACAGGGCACAATGAAACCACACAGATTTGGCACCATTGGACTGATAGTTATAGCAGTCAGAAATTTTGTTCCCCAGTCTGAAATAGTTTGTGCACTGCTGTCTTACTAAGAACACTTTGTCTTAATATCAAAATGTGAATAAAAAATATTTTTACATTTTTTTTTTACCTGAAAGACCCTGACATGATAACACAATATGTCAGCAGGAGTTAAGTGTTCTCGAGCATAGTGTTGACCATTTTTGGCTATTTGATGAACCTGTCGAGTTAAAACAGAGAATGACAAGTTTGGATTATGTAGTTTGTATCATTGTAATCTATGTTTTATACAAACACATTCTGTTGTTCTTAGGATTCTATTTTACACAAAACAAAAATATCTCAATGGAACTATTGTAACAAAACACAAGCTACTACCCCAAACAGAACTAAAAAAAAACTATTTGGCTGATATTCTAATGCTCAGAATCCTATCGTCCAGTTACTATAACGGTCCCATAAATGCTACTATTTACATAATGATAAGAATATATAGTTTGGCTTTTAGACTTTTTTTTTCGTATATAACCCGCGGGTTATACAAGCCTCCTCCATGCGGGGTATATGAATGTGTAGGGTTTACACAAATCATGTTACTAATAAACGAAGCATAACGGACATTCCGTTGCGTCTTTAAACCTCCTTTTGTTCACTGTGCATAGATCCGACCGTAGGCTCGCATTTCACACGTGTGTTGCATTCTATGTTGGAACAACAACTTGAGCACATTGCATCTCAAGGGACAGACGTCTGAGACTTCGCCAGCACAATGACTAGCTACCCCAAAGCATGTCAGGTGCTCATTAGGGATGGGTGGACTTCACCAGGATTTGAACCTGAAACCCCTTAGGAAATCATGTGCTTAACTCCTCAGCCACTATGTCCAATTTACAAATTAAAAAAAAACGCAGTATTTCAAAGGTTAAATTTAGCGTGGACCAAATGTCATAAAAGTGTCAACTAGTCATAGCGTGTAGCTTGGTGTGGTCCACTCACCTCCTCATCATTTTCCCTGGCCCACTTGATCTTCTCGATGACGTCACTGAGGTCATGCTTGATGGGGATGTAGTGAACGTAAGGCGTCAGCTCCCTGTAAAAATGTTCGTAATAGTCCGAGTCCTGCTTGAAAACAACCGAGTCCCCAGCCAGGAGATAAGGGAACCTGTAGGCAGCTACAGTACCGTCAATATTCAGCTGGTATTTGTGCTGTAAACAAACAAAATAATGTACAAAACAAATTGCCTGCTGTTGGTCGTCATTGTTATGATACAAATATACACACAAGCCACATTCTTAAAGGATTGTGAATCTTGGAGGCTGACTGCAGAACTAGAGAGGAGAATCCTAGCAATGGAATTGATGCTACAGAAAATTCCCTACAAACGCCGCATCACAAACGAAGAGATTAGAGACAGGATTAGTATAGCGATTGGACTCCCACAAACTACTGTCAAAAAACGCAAATAAAAATTTTAAGACCATATTAGAAGGTTCTCAGGGCTCGCAAAGACTATCCTACAGCGAACAGTACCAGGAAAAAAAAAGAAGAGGCAGACAGAGGAAGCGATGGAAAGACAACATAAAGGAGTAGACGGGCCTGCCAGTGAGGGAGATTCTGCCCAAGGCAAAAGACGAAGGAATGGAGAAGGACGGTCACCAGACTAAGGGATAGGTGATAGACAATCTCCTTCAACTGAAACTTCTCTGAAAGCCTTCATCATTGACCCTGCCACCTGGGAGACAAAAGCACATGATAGAGCATCATGGTGTCGCGATGAGAAAACTGGCGCACAAACTGCAGAGGACAAGAGAACAGCACTGGCAGGAGAAAAGCAGCTGGAGTAACCTGCACAGTGTGCAGGCGAACATTCCAGGCTCACATGAACTCACCAGCCACATGAAGAGGCACAAAACCCCAATGCAAAGCCCTCAGCCACCTGGATGACAAAAGTGGTCATCATCGAACTACGATGGACGATATAAACTTTAATAATATTGAGAATATTCTTTTTAAAGCTATATGGAAAAATATAGGCTACTTCACTTCACAATATGTTATTTTTGTTGTATTTTAGTCCGATCGAAGAAGTTTTAAGCTATTCACTTTTGAATTCTTTCATCTTTCTGCCTTTCACGAGATTCCTGTGTTGAAGTATTTAAGTTTTTAAATATAACTTCTTGAACACTACACTGTATAGACACATTTATACCATACCCACCCACAGGGCCGGCCTAGAAAAACCCTTTTTTTTCAACAACTTTTACTATTAATTAGATCATTATATCAACATTTACCAGAAAACATACATAAGAAGCAACTCTAATGCAATTGGCGCCAATGCGTTACTTGAAGTTACGTCGAACGTATGTTTCACTAAATATGTTAATCCTTCAAGTCCTACATGTTAAAAAGCATGTGACCAGAGCCATGACTGATAGTAATATGTTAAATGTAAATTGCGGGGCTCAATTCGGAGCAATTGGTCAAATCGGCCTACCCATAACATTGCCATTAGTTGGAGGTTAACTAACTTTTTCTTTTTTTTTTTTTAATTAACTCACTTATCCCCCTTTGAAATAAAAGCGAACATGTATGTTTTAGTCTTTGCTACTGGTTCAATAAGATTAGTAGGCCTACATTTCGTGTTTTGGTGCATTTAGCTGTGTTCTAATTAGTAGGCCTACATTTCGTGTTTTAGTGCATTTAGCTGTGTTCTAATTAGTAGGCCTACATTTCGTGTTTTAGTGCATTCAGCTGTGTTCTAATTATTTCAGTACCGGTAACGGAATAAGACTGACTACACACATAAGTCAGTTAGTGAAAGCAGGGGTTAGAGCCAAGTTAAGGCAGTTAAGTGCTAAGTAAAAAGTAATGCATGACAGTAAACAGCGGGATTTATACATCGTCAGAATCATAATAGGTTTAT